ACTCCACATTAGTGATATTTTAAATCGAAGTCCTGAAAAGGCATTGGTCTTTTTTCTTTAGCGGATTTGATTAAGAGGTCTGAGTAATTAGTCATTGAAATGAATAAAGTTTGTAAGTCATGCATTGAACCGGTCTAGACGTTAAATAGAATACTCGGAAAATAAAGGAAATTTTTTTCAACATTTCTGTGCATCTGTAATATCCTAACTTCTTTGTGACATATCAAGCGCAAATTGCAATCTATTTATAAATACTGATACGGCTAATCAAATGCTAATTTAGATTTATCTGATCTTACATTTTTTAATGAGTTACATAATACGTACAAAGATTCAAGACGTCTGTAAGTATAGTTTCAAAATATTCTACGAATATAGTACAGCCAGAAGTGAGTGCACGAATGCAATTAATATGTGTTCGTTTTATCATTAACAGCCTTACATCAGACATGAGTTTAGTTTTCGACGTAATACATGGATGGTGTTGAAATTGGATTTGATTAAATTTGCCCCTGAACCTTAATATGAATCAAAGCCAGCATTGATAATTGTTAAAGATTAAGGAAATGTCGGACAAAGTCTTCATCAAAGCTAACATTAATATTATTATTTCATTATCACTAAATGTCAGAATTTTGACGAAAATCGAAAATTAAAATATAACCCGATCCCATATGTAAGAAATAACAGGATTTAATTACAATTAATTACTCATCAGGATTTCTGTAGTACCCTACGTACCCTATATACCTTTTTAATGTTACTGCATAAACTAATATCAAACAACAAGTCAGTTTATATTTTATGTAAAATTAAAATCCAGTCATACATAAAGCTTTCGGGGCTTGATAAATCCAAGTGCGATTTAAATGCAACATGTTGATTTGCATGAAATCCTTCGGGGCTATCGGATGTCAGCTTAATTACTCTAATTCTACGAACGTTACCACAAATTATCGCATATTTATTTATAATTTATCTGTATCGGTGGTAGTGGCGGAGAGGCATTGTAGTCCAAGAAATATTTAAATAATATTGAAAAAAAATTCTTCCAATCAATAGTAAACTCCGGTAGCGTCATAAACAACATACCTGCTACTTTTGCGTGAGTCTGGATTCGGTACCACGATAATTGCAAAAAGATATTTTTCTGCGTTTAAGGTAGGGCTGTCTCTAAAATCCTCCTCGAACGTGCCTGGAACATATGTCAAATTTGTTTGTTTACAGAAAAAACGTTTAATATCAAGCCCTGATCAACAGAAATCTATAACATATATTATAAATTTATTACACATGCGTACTAAATTACACATTTTATTTGAAAATATGTCATAAAATTAGTACACCACATCGGAATAAAACTTCCAACGAAAAAGTTAGAAAATTATAATTTTTTTTTTTAACAGTGTAGTGTGCCCTTCGCAACGGCTCGTGTACTTAGAGTACCACATACGCGCGCGTACTGTACGGTCCATTACGCGGTGGTACGCTGTCCGGCCTGTCGAGTCCGTAAAGTTGTCCTGGAATCCGTTTCACAATCCTTGGCATCGCTACCGAACCGTCACACAAGTCACAAAGGGGTATTGTTGCCATTTTTCATTTCCATCGCGGATCTAATCAGCATCGGATCGCCCACGCGAATTCTTACTGGGACGCTTTCGCGATCTCTGTCCCACGAGAGAAATATTTATGAGGCCGATAATGCGAAGGGCTTTAATGCGAGGGCATCTCTTTAATACCGCTCAGTTCCTCTTTTTATTTTTTCCCGTGAGGTCATTCGGCGAAAACAATGTTTTCATATGCGCGAAATTGATCTCGGATACTCCGCAATGTGAAAAAAATACATACACTTTTATTACATAAGGTTGTAGTACAATTATAAATTTGACGTCTTAAAAGTGAATCGGTATACATCAGTTGCAAACTTCTAAATAAATTTACAATTCTTCAATTATTAGATATCGATCGAAATATGAGGGTTCAACGCAATTTTGGTTCTGGTTTAAATGAAGTAAAAAAAAAAATTTGTTTCGAAAATCCAATTTTGTGATACTATTTTATAAACTTGTAAATTTCTTCTAAAATTATTATAAAGTTATAATACACGTATTATAAAATGATTACTTTTTTAAAAATAATTTTACCACGTACCAATGTCCTGAAATTATGATACATATATCATAAAATTATTAATATCCTTCATAATTTTATTACATATGTGTATTAAATTTATAACATGTTATATATTTTATTTGAAACTATCTTATAAATAGTATACCATGTCTGAATGAAACTTCCATTAAAAATGTTTTAAAATTCAAACAATTTTTTAACAGTGCGACAAAGCTTTCTGACAAATGTCTAGCCGTCGAGTTGCTCATAAAGTGTCACGATAATTCAATCAGGATCCCATGCAGAACATTTATCCTTAACATACGTAAGGAGAATGTATCAGTAATCGACCATGAACCTATAATTGATAGTTTTGAAACAATTATGCTTATGCAAAAGTGGTTGCGATTGGTCGAAGGTGTTTGTAGGCCGCACAGCTGATAAATGGAGTTTCTTTTCATTCTCATTTCAATCAATGACTGATAAGAGGATTGCAATGCATTCAATTGAATCACTCGATAGGATATTATTGTCTCTGGGCAACAGACTGAAAATGAAAATTTTTTGAATTTCCAAGAACCAAAGAAGACATTTTTTTTTTTTTAATGAAATTTCACGAACATTGCGTTCTTCCTTAGGGTCTCTATAATCACGTGTTAAGGTTTCAGATAATTCGGTGCACCCACTTGGAGAAAAGTTTCATAAATATTTTCACATTTTCATATATACAGAATAACCCTTTCTTATCACTATTGGGTATCAATACCAAGCGATCGGAATAAACTGAATCTCTTAGGCACAATAGCCGTTACGAATGTCTTATTTTCTTACAAATGCGGCATTGCATTCGCAGAGAAGACAATCTCAATTGGCGGAAATATTCCCATGTACCCTTGTATTTTCTTTAACTCGAATGACGCACGACAAAATTTCGCGAATGGAGTTACGATGTCTCAGCTTAGTCGAGACGAATCGTCGATGTCGTAAAGTATTGAAATTTCCATTGTTTACGAAATTTATTCTTAAATACCAGGCACTGCGGCACGATAAGCAGCCGTACCCTGGACGGTTCATTACCGCGGGCAGATAAGACAACAGTGTCTTGTTTACGAACTCACCACCAAAATTTGCGATTGACACCTACCTACTGATAAAAGTTCAAGGCAAGCGGCATCTTCTCTTCAGATACGCAATCGAGAAATGCGGCAAATTCAAATTAGATAGAGTGAACCATTCAATGAGCAAGCAGCTGTTGGCGAGATCTAAGAAAATAATTTATAATTGAGTTACCAATCAGTGAAATACATCCTCCGACTTGATTGCGTACAAACTTTCTAATCCTTGGACAGTAACTCTTAATGGGGAATTTCCGAAATTCTGGCCATTCTGAATTTTCCACTCCGAGTGAATTGATTTCTTTTCACTCTGCCTTTCTTTTTCCGTTTTACTAATTTTTTATTGTTTTAGATGTGTTTTAACTTCTTGCCATGTGCCCTCTTTGCATGCTGAACTTTCACTTTTGTAAGTGGAAATGAGTTTTACTTGGTTTTACTATTTCTAATAGAATACCTCGTTTTAGAATGTACAAAGACATATTTGTATAAGAGAGGAAAGATTATGGTGACGACTATAGTGGGAAATTTTTTCCAGTTATGATAATGACCGTAATGACGGCAATTCCATCAAACACCGAGAAGTGGTAACGTATATAAAATAATATTGGCCGTCGATTTAATTTACCTACTTAAATTTCAATTCTCACATTTAAATCAAATGGACGGTAATCATGCATTGATATGCAGAATGCTCGCACTTAAGAACGAGAATTGTTCCTTAAGTGTAATTTTACACGACTGGCGGTATGCCTTTCGCGAGGAAGTAGATAAACTGAAAGGTAAACAATAGCGGCTCCGCGACTACTAGTGAACCATTAATGTCGCCATTCAATGCTATTAAGCCAATTACGACGTGCTTTATTAATATCATACTTCCACTTAGAGGAAAGTTACAGTTTTATTCCCACTTCCATTACAAATCTGATATTATCGTGGTCTCTGTCGATCAAGCGGTACTGACTTCGGTGCATTACCTGAAGTAATTAAATTTATCAACCACTTCGGTGTATGTGCTCGAGTTTAACAAGTTAGGTGAGGCAACACATTGCACGGAACAAGATAACTAATGACACGTAATTTTTTACGTTACACGCAAACGGCTGCATAATCGCACTTTTTAATCGTTTCATGGGTCCGATCACGACCAGTAACCTTTTCTGAAAGCGTACTTAGTTTCTTTGAACTACTATTAGTATTCAATTACCTTGGTATATTGCCCCGTTTTGAAGAAAAAGTTCATTTTGCAAACTTGTATTCGTGATATTTTAGGGTGGGAACACGCTGTATTATTGCTACTCTTCAATTGTTTAATAACTTTGAAAATATTCAAGTCCAACCCTCAAATATATATATATGAAAATATATCAAAGTTATACGAAAATCGGAGATTACCGTTTTATGCATAATTACCAAAAAATGTATACGAGAGACAGTAAGTATAAGAAGATAACGAAATGATAATCATACCTCGGCGCGGCCATAACGTTATAAAATTGTAAATTTATTTAAAAGTTTGCAACAAATGTATACTAATTGACTTTTAAGGCATGAAATTTACAATTTTATTACAACCTTACGTACTAAAAGTGTACGAATTTTATGTATTTCTTAACAGTGTACATTGCATTTAGTCATAACTTTCCACGTACTTAGTTACATTATTTCCATTTGATATGGCGATGGGGAGCCGAATGAAAACGGTCACCTCGGCGTGGGCATGTTATAAAATTGTAAATTTATTAATAACCTCCCAACAGATGAGTACCAAAATTATAATTTTATTACAATATCATATGCTAAAAGTGTACGAATTTTATGAATTTTTTCAGCAGTGTACATTTTGCCATAACTTTCCTCATACTTAGTTGCATTATCTCGGTTGGATAAGGTGATGGGGTGCCAGACGAAGACGGTCACCTCGGGGCGGCCATCCTCTCGCGCGTCGGTGGTCCGTTTGCGCGTCGGAGTAAACTCTCGAATAAACAATCCGCGGCGGCTCGGCGGAGGCTCGGTCGAGGGATCGCGCATGCGCAGTGGCGGCGTGGCGCGCAGCGCGCTCGGCTCGTTTGTAGGTCGCCGCTCGCGCGAAGTCCGCTCGTTCCGGCGGACCGGCACCTTCAGTCACACGAGGGCCTCAAAAGACGCAGGAGAGACAGCCGCACGCGATCCGGCCGAGGCTGCGCGCGACAGCCATTTGTTTATCCCGGAAGAGGCCTAGAGAGGGACGGACCTCGGAAAGGAGTGACCTAGAGAAGAGCAGGAAAGAGACGCGCGTTTACTTTCGGGGCTCTCCGCTCGAGCTACGCTCGCGACCGGCCGATTCGATTCGCGCAGGCGCGCGCTTTTCTGCGACCAGTCGACTTCGACTCGTCCACCGAGGGCTCTGTTTTCCAACCGTGCGATCGCGGCCGCGCGTGACGAGGCGCAACGGGACGGACGTCGGAAGCAGCGCCGCCGGGAGATGGTGTACAGCGGCTTCGAGATGGAATCGGTGAGTGGCTTTTATTCCTATCGTATTCCCTAGGATCTGCCGCGAGTTCGCGCCGGCGACGCGTCGGTGGTTGCGCGCCGGACTTTATCTCGGATTATTCCCCTAGGACGAAGGCAGCGCGCGCGGAGGAAAGGGGGAAGCTTTTCGATTAGGTTATGTTGAGAATGCTTCGGGATTTTTTACGGGGTTTATTTTGAAAATTAAACGCAGGTTACGATAAGATATTTCATGACGAACCGTTCGAAACGATGCTTCGATTCGAATGGAATTTTAACGGAAAGGCGGATTCTCATTTTGTGGATTAAGTAGGGTTTGGGAGAGACGAAGTATTTCAGGTTAATCCGGGAATTTATTCGTAGCAGGACGTGAGAGCGATTGGGTAAAAAGTATGTGCTTTTCCGTAAAATCTCCTAAGCGAATAGATCACGATATACGTTGAGTTCTTTTCGATGTATCTTGCTGATTAATTCCAAAATTATTCGCGATACTTGGAAACTACGAAAAGACGAACTCGAGGGCGAAACATTATTGACACGTGGACGTAACTGTATTTTCCTAGAATCATTATTTTTGGAAGGGACTCTTAATCTATTTTCACTTATAATATAAAACACTCTTAATTTCTTTGAATTTTCTGTACCGTCGTTAAATAAATGCACATGCATGGGAATGAAAAAGAAATGTCTAGGAATTCAGAGAAGGGGATTTAGTTTGCGCTGGGTTCATTTCGGGAATAAAATGTCGGTAAAATCGAGAAAAATCTCATTATTTTCGGAAGGGACTCTTAATCAATTTTCACTTATAATATAAAACACTCTTTTAATTTCTTTGAGTTTTCTCTAACGCTGGGTTCAGTTCGGGAACAGAATGTCAGTAAAATCGAGCAAAATCTCATTATTTTTGGAAGGGACTCTTAATCAATTTTCACTTATAATATAAAACACTCTCATAATTTCTTTGAATTTTCTGTAACGTCGTTAAATAAATGCACATGCATGGGAACGAAAAAGAAATATCTAGGAATTCCGAGAAGGAGATTTACTACGCGCTGGGTTCATTTCGGGAACAGAATGTCGGTAAAATCGAGAGAAATCTCCTTCGGAAGTTCCCTTGGGAAGAAGTATTCAGCTCAAGTGTCGCTGCACAGCTCTCGACGAACAGGTTGTAACGGTTATTACTCTTCGAAATTTTCGGTTTCGAGCGAACGCATCGCCGCTTGACCGCTACGATTTCTGCGGCGCATTTCCTCGGGCCTCGTAAACAGCCCTCTTGTTTTCTTTTTTCTTCTTTCTATCCCCTAGATTTTTATTCTTTCCCGCTCTTTCTCCTCTTCTTATTTCCCGAGGTATTTATTTCCAATGAAAACAGCTATTTCTCCGGCGCTCTCCTGAGCGCCCGGCGCAGCTGGAAACTTATATTCAGTTGGGCCGAAGAAGCGCAACAAAAACCGACTCGGCGGCTTTCTCCACGAGGAGGAAAAAGCGCCGCAGCGAATTGTAAAAAAAAGAAAGAAAAAGAAAGAGTCACCAGGGGTCTGATGCAGTTTGCATGTCGTTCCGTAATTTCCTCGTCCGCTCGATTCTCACGTCCTCTGACAATCGGTTTCTAAATTATCGTCGCAAGAGTTTGCCTGAATTCTTGTATTCTTCCTATTAGTGGAAACTCGTATTTCTCATTTTTCACATGTCCGAACGTTCTTCAAGAAAAAATTTGCACCACTTGAAACTACGTGCGAGATACGTTAAGATGAAGGGAAACACGTCGAGAAATTTGATCGACGTCGATGTAAAAGATTCTACTAAATGCCTACGCTGCCGATGTTCATATTTATATCGATCGTCGTTTCCAATTATGTTGGGTATTGCACTGAATAGCGTACTCCATATGTCGTTTCCGTAGAATAATTATAAGTAAATCGATGTAAAACTCCAAAAACCTCCTGGATTCATGATTTTTGATGCCCTAATTGACTGCAGAGTGCCATCTTGCGCCATCCGTGATTTTAGTTTCAACTAAATTTTCTATTCTCGACCTCGAGTTATCTTCGTTTTAGCACAGAAGTGCGTAAGACACTTTTTTTTACCTTTATCCCGTTCAAATGCGAGTTTCCCGATTACTGAAGAGTTCTAAATTGTTATACAATTGTCCTGACAGTTTCGTTTTCCATATCAGGGCCTTTAATACTTGTATATCGATCGAAATGGTCTAGATTAAGTGAAACAATTTTTCTTCGAAAATCCTAATTTTAATTCCGAATTGGTTTCATCAATACGATTGTTCAGTTTTAATTTAATTGGAATGTAGATGTACACCGTTTAATGTGTCACATGAATTTGCTTGACCTTTATTTCATACTTAATGAAATCTTAGTATCAAGACAATTTACATTATAATGGTTCATTTAAATGATCGCAACGAATTCTACAAGGCGATTCCATACAATACGCTTAAAAAATGTATTTTATTCGAACCGACTGATTTGAGGGGGACTTTACCTTAATACTGCAAGTTAGATTGTTAACTCTTCATTTTCTCCGGTTTTTTATGATTATCGGCTAATTTTCATGCGAAATGCGTGTAGTTATGATTGCGTGTTTACCGCGGCAATCTATTGGATGACGTTTGCATGGAGGTTTTCCGTCCGTCCGGGAGAAATTGTTACCATTGCATGCACGGCGATATACCGTGCGCGTTGCACGCTAGTTACGCTCCTGTATAGAAAGACGCGAGCCGATGACTCGGCCGCTCGGAAGGCTAACTTTCGAAACTATCACCACTGCATCGTCGCTCGTAGACGAGAAATTCATTCCGCTGGTGTGCAATGGAAAACTCCGTAGAGAGGTTCATGAATCGCGGAGATTGTACAATTTTTACGAATTTTATGCACATTTACCTGAATCGAAATGGAAATCCTAAAGAGCACTCGAGTCTTAATGAAACTAAAATGGTGCCAATGATTTGCTATATCAATGTTTTCATATATTTCTTCATGTACAGTGGTAAAAGTAGATGCAACTGTGGATTTTCTTAGGGGGTGAAATTGAGCCGTTCTTTTTTTATTAAATTAAATTTTCGTTTCAATACGAGTTTAATTTCATTGGGTTGATGCAAATGTTCGTCCCGTTCGGACTTTTAGTCTTGATTTGACTCATACTATGTAATAGTTTTTCCTTAAAATCAGAATCCGGTACGTTGGAGATGTACGTCGATCTCGATTCTAAGTACTCACCGTATAGGACGCGGTGAGAGAAATCACGTTCGCATTTCATTTGCGGTTTGACTCTACTTCCGTGCGTGCGCCTTGTAGAAAATTGTCATCGGTTCGCATAGCGTTGTACCACTTTTTTTATTTACTTCTTTTCGGGTTTTTTTTCTCACGAGAGATAAACGGCAATACCCACGTCACGCGAGTCAATCCGTCTCTCTATTACTAGAAACTTCAAAAGGATGTCCTGGAAGATGGCACGGCACGTCCCAAGTTTCGATTTTTGTTTGCAATAATTACCGACATGTTTCACTCGTGGCTCAGTTCGAGTACTCGTGCGAATACAGGTACTGAGGATGCATTCGAAGCACCGCGCTGTCCGACTACCTCCGTCGAAATCACATGCATAAGCGAGTACCGCGTCGGAGTCGGCCGCTTAGGCAAGTGCTCCGTCGAAGTCACTCGCACAAGCGAGTATCGATCCTAAGTAATTGGTGTACAGACGAGTATCGAGTCGGCCACTCGCACAAGTGAGTACCAACTCCAAGTAAAATTGATGTTCAGACTAGTACCGAGTCGAAATCACCCGCACAGGCGAGTGCTCCGTCGAAGTCACTCGCACAAGCGAGTATCGATCCTAAGTAATTGGTGTACAGACGGGTATCGAATCGGTCACTTGCATAGGCAAGTGCTCCGTCGAAGTCACTCGCACAAGTGAGTACCAACTCCAAGTAAAATCGACGTTCAGACGAGTACCAAGTCGAAATCACCCGTACAGGCGAGTGCTCCGTTGAAGTCACTCGCACAAGCGAGTATCGATCTTAAGTAATTGGTGTACAGACGAGTATCGAGTCGGTCACTCGCACTAGTGAGTACCAACTCCAAGTAAAATCGGCGTTCAGACGAGTACCAAGTCGAAATCACCCGCCCAGGCAAGTGCTCCGTCGAAGTCACTCGCATAAGCGAGTATCGATCCTAAGTAATTGGTGTACAGACGGGTATCGAATCGGTCACTTGGATAGGCAAGTGCTCCGTCGAAGTCACTCGCACAAGTGAGTACCAACTCCAAGTAAAATCGGCGTTCAGACGAGTACTAAGTCGAAATCACCCGCACAGGCGAGTACCCAGTCGGAGTCACCCGCACAGGCGAGGACTCCGTCGAAGTCACTCGCACAGGAGAGATTGCCTCGTCGAGGTAACTCGCACAAGCGAGTACCGAGCCCAAGTAATTCGTGCACGTGCACGTGCACATGCGAGTCGGAGCCATTCGCGCAGGCGAATGCCCCTTGGCTCGTTGCGAGCGTTGCTTCAAGGTGGATCGCGCATTTCGGTCCAATTAATCGGGCAGCGCCGCGCGGACTCGCCTTAAGGACCTTGTCGCCAACGGGCGTCATAGCCTTCCAACGATTTGCCAGGAATAAATAAAAGCAAATGGCCCTTCCCTCTCGGGCAAGTTTAATCGATGCGATCATCGGCTGCTTTCGGTTTCTTGTCGTCCTCTGGGTCATTCGCTCGCTTTCCTCGAATCCTTCGGGGAACGGTAACTCGAGAGTGGACCTTAGTTTTTTGGGACTGCCAAGATGAGCGATCGGGGGGTTTTTGCCACTTCTTTTTCAGCAGGTCGAGGCACAGTTATGAGCAGCCCTCGGAGAAAAAGAAACTGAAATTACCTTCGTGGAGATACTTCGACCTGCTGCCACCGGCAACCACGGAACCGCTATCCGTTCTGCAGAACATACTATTGTCTTGCAAAATGATATCGTAGTTGATCATTTCTTTTCGCGCGTACCTTCGT